CCCCAAAACCCCAAAACCCCAAAACCCCAAAACCCCAATATATGTATAAGTTGGCGGTATTTATGTGAAAGTAAATATTTAAATAGATATACTATAACAATACTAAGATTTAGTCAATAGACATTCTCTTAATCATAGGCTATAAAATAGACAAATAAATCTTTGCCATTTATGGATTTTTTTGCCTCATCAATAAAGACCTATAATCTTTTGCCTTTAATGTGTGGGCTATTTCGAAGCGACTGTTTTGTTTTAAACTTTGGGTAAATTCTACTAGAACTAATTATTTCTAATTTTTACCACATTAACTGAGAAGCCAATCTTGGCAAAGGAAACATTACCAGTTGCATTATGACTATCAAATCCAGAGTTTGAATTTAAATCTTGACTTACAAGTCGCTTATTATTATTGGGAGAAGGACTTTAATTATTGCTGCTATTAATATTACTAAAAGGATGTCTTGAAGGCCTACCTCTACTTTCAGAAACAATTCCTGACTTCCCAGATTTGTTAAGAAATCCACTTTCATTCAGAATATTTGAAATATTCTTATTGGGTTGATAGGAAGTTTTCTATGCCATACTCTTATTTGCTGTAATAAGTGTTCTTCTGTTTTAAATTAGCACATCCTTTGGAGTTATCTAAAACATTTAGCCTTTCAATCTTAATATTGATTCATAATCTACTGCAGTTTTAGTAGGTCCAAGTTAAGAATAGTGTGGTGAGTCATTCATATTTTTAACTGTTGTTTTATTTTGTCTATTCTAAAAAATGCTATCTTCATTTTGGCATTCAGCATTTTTCTTTTCAAGTTTATTAGTTGTATTTAGTAGATTTACGAATTTCTTTTGCTCATTAAACTCATTCTTTAGACTTACTGTTCTCTATGTTAGCTCCATTCTTAATGCCTGAGGACTGAGGGATTCATTGGTTTTCTGAATACTTTAATGATCTAATTAAATTTACTAATTATACTATTGTTTTCTTTGTTAAATTACTTTCTAGTCCTACTCCATTTCTACGTAATGCTCTTATTTATACTTTTAATATCTCTTAAATTAGGGCATTTTTGCTTATGTTATCATTTATTCATTACAATGTCTAGGATCATCATAAACAATTTTCATGAGCTATGGAGGATTTGTAATAACGATTGGTTTGCTATATCCTTTGATTCCATGAAGTCCTGCAGTTTAGTTTGCGCTCTTTGGCCTACTGAATCTTTACTTCATAACTTTTTACTTTATTATCAAATTTCCCTCAAGAATACCACCTTTTGGCATATCGCCTAGAGTAATTTATTCCTCTCTATTAGTAGCAATTGCACCTGCATTTGAAAGATTATACTAAGTTTGATAAAGCTACTGACTTTAAATATTATCTGGCTAGTTACCTGTGTGAGGCCTTGACTTTCTGCTATCTGTTGTAGTCTACTGCAAATTAAAAGATTTTTCAAGCTTGTCCTTCTCTTTTTCTTTTTGTTATTACTGGGAGTTCAGGACTTTCAAATCACTAGCCTGAAGTTTGATGAAATCGGAAATTCTTAATTTTTGAGTCCGAGTAATACTCAATCCTTATCCACTTCCATTTTCATTATTACCAGTCAAGCTATTGACATGATCAAAATCTGTTATTATCTGAGATCCAAGTGGACTTTATTGCTGAATCCTCATATCTTCAGTCTTTGTTGCTAACTTAAGAACAGTAGGCTAAAGCTAAGCTTAAAAAGACTCCAGACTGTTATCCTAGGTTAAGGCATTTAAGATAGTTTGAGCTGTACTTTGCTTTGACATTTTATTTTTCTTGATTAAATTGTTGAGCAGCATGTTGAATTTTTTATTTCTATCTTCAAGATGATCGGAATTTAAGTTTGGAGGAGATTTCAAGGTTTTCGGTTAGGTCTGCATCATATATGGATCTGTTTTTAAGGCACTACCATCCATAAGTCTTTGGAACTTAAGATATTCATGAAATATTCTTTCCTATGGTTTCTTAGGATTTTATTTAAGAGTGTCTCCCAGCCCTATCTTTCCATTGATTGACGTCTAAGACTCATACACACTAAGGGGTCTATTCGAGCTTTTATTAGTTGAATCCCCTGCAGTCTACTATTGCTACCTTATGCTTGATTTAGTTGTCATTTTGTGGCCAACTATACCTTATTTAAGACTATAAGGCTTGATACCTCTGCATTGCTTCCTCATTGAATCATTATGACTTTTGCTAGCTTGTTACGTTTATCTCTAGGCATCAGAGCCTTGAGCTGGCATTTCTTGATTGTTAAGAATGGAAAGATGCTTAAAGTTACGACGCTGAGTCTTGTTGAAATTAGCACTTGAGGGTCTGTTTTTACTAAGTAACACATATCCATCTTCGCCCCTTTTCTTCATTAAGATTGTTTTTTTAATACTGCTTGAATTGTGATGTTATTATTAGTCCCTCAGCAAACTAGTCTAGGATTTCCCAGCGTGCAAATTAAAAAATTCATCCTTAGAGTTATGGTTGCTGAAGTATTTAGCTGAATATTCATAATAGGATTATAGTTCCTTATCTAGCTGTATGTCATCGGGTAGATTTGACAAAAAACCTTGATTAAAACTCGTCTTTGACTGGTATATGGCCTCATTAAACATGATTTATCTTGAATTAATTTATCTATTTTTCAATGAATTTTCTTTCAAGCACTTTTTTATTTTCATCATGGGGTTTTGGGGTTTTGGGGTTTTGGGG